ACATTTCTATACCCAATACCTAAACCTTATACTTACACTTATACTTATACTTATACTTATACCTATCCAGGCCATCTCCCATTTGACTGCCAGTCATCCGTTTTTTGTTCGAATGGCACTGAAGACTCTCTTTGTGAGTACTCAGGCAGAGCCTATCGTTCGCACCACTGCCAAGGAGTTCATGTTTGGCTATCCCTCAGCACTGGCCAGGCTGGGCAACACGTTCCTACCCAACTGGATATCCTTTGAGAAGGTGGGCCTCATCGACCGCATGTACGATTTCTCAACGGACTTTGAGACATTCTACACGGGCGTGCCAAATCCGGCACTATCGGGCTTGTACGCCACCTATCGGGGAGAAACCACACTGCCCCAATGGCAGGGCGATCACTGCAGCAACATTGAGTACGCCTCCGATGGCACAAAGTTCAAGAGCTTCATTCAACCCAATGAGACGGTAAAGTTCTTCCGAAAGAGCATGTGCAGGCCCATCAATTTGGTGAGTTTCCAGTCGAACGCGTAAAGTAATCAATTATGAATTCATTTCTCTTTTTTGTTGCAGTATCGTGTGGGTGAGCAGCGAACATTTGGCAGCCTGAAGGGCTATAACTATGTCTTCGAGGACAATGCCTTTGACAATGGAGCCACTAACGAGGCCAACAAATGCTTCTGCCGCAAAGGTAAGACGAAGCCTCATGGCGTTAGATCACTTTAATTGTAGTCCAAGTATTATGTAAGAAGTTGATGTTTACACAATATCGGAAAGTTCTTTCCAATTAATACTCGTAATTGCCGCGAGTTCTAGTTCTAGCCCCGACTGTCTGTCTGCAGTTAATTGATCTCCGATTACTCGTACTCGCAGCATAGTTTCCAGTTTGTGTGGAAAATTTCTGTTTACTACTCGTAAAGTAACGAAAAATTCAGCGAAATTGGCAAAGGCAGTGACGCACGTGAGGTCCACGCGTGCCCCTCTCCAATATGTATTACGCCATGTATGACACGCCATTAGCGGCAAATCTTGGCAGCAGCCTTGAGACTTGTCGCTGGAAATGTTTGCCTTCTGTCTTGGGGGGATTGTCGACTGTTGACTCACTCCTTTAACGATCCTTGTCCTGCCTCTCTCTCTCCCCATTCTTCACAGGTGACTGCCAGCCGGTGGGACTGATTGACGTCACTGACTGCTACTATGGATTCCCCATCTCCCTAAGCTTCCCCCACTTCATGAACGGTGACGTTGGATTGCAGCAGAACATCACCGGCATGAATCCTGATCCGGCTCAGCACTCGTCGGCATTTGTCATACAACCGGTAGGTGATCTCGACCTTGTCCTGCCCAAAATAACTCTCAGAGTGAATGCCACATGCCGCCTGTTCACTGTTGCACCTTCGATGTGTCAATCATCAGCCGCAAGCTAGAATGTGTTCAGTAGGAGGAGTATTTTATTCGCATTTTATGTCACAATTAACTAAAGGCTGAAGCGACTTAAGCATGCAACAGCTGAGCGGCACCGTTACCTCCAATTTCCTCAGCTTCCGATCAGATTGGAGAACTTTACATTTACATTTCCGGCTAATTAAAGTAAGCGTTGAAACTGGTTGCATGTCACGACTAAGCCGCTTTCCACTCGGCAAGGAAATCCACAACAGGAAATTAATGCAGCAAGTAGCTTAATATCTCTACTAAACATAAACAATTCTGTTCTGCGGCCAATCGTTTTGCATTGGCAGCCATAAATCGCTGACAGTCTGTAAGCCAGCTTCCGCTGAACTTTCCCATTTTCAATGGAACAATTAATTGGCCCAATCGTCAGTTTAGTTTTTGCCTTTTGACACCCACCAGCCGCAGTCGCAGCAAGATTTCGATCAATTCATGCAGTCAATCAGTCAATAGTAATTTCGGCTCAAGTTTTACCGGTTTTGCAATGAATAAACCATAAGCAGCAAAACGGAACACGGCAACAACAATGCAACGAAGGCAACGAAATGTGCGAAAAATGTCGATAAATCACTAAGGACAACTGCCACATCGCACATACATGCTCGTACATAAACATAAACACATACATAGTACATACATTTAAGCGCAATTAGCCAAAATTAGGCCAAGTGCAGCTGAAATTGTGTCGTACTTGGAAACCAGGCCAACCCCCAGCCATATATTAATGCCACAATGTTTTCACAGGAATCCGGTCTGCCGCTGTCGCTGTCCGTGAAAGTGCAGATCAACATGCACTTCAAGGATCTGAGCAACTTCCCGACAGTCTCCAAGTTCAGCCACCTGACGGCACCAATGCTGTGGTTCGAAATTGTAAGTACAAATTATAACAAATTATATGTATGGACAGCGACTTATCTTTTATCATCTTTTATTATCTTTTCCACAGATGATGCCCAGTTTGCCGGACTCACTGGACTCGCGTTTCAATTTCTATCTGAATATCTTGCCGTTGGTCAATCCTCTGGGCTTTTGGCTTGCCTTAATTGTGGGCTTGGGTCTCCTGGGCTACGCCATTACGCGCGCCACCCTCCACATGTCCAGCTATGCCCGCCAGGCAGCCAATATCTCTGAAGGCAAATACGCCCGAGCGAATCTACTGCAAAATCTAACGGGAGGTGCCACCAATCAAGTGTACAGTCCCTGCGAACTCAAGTTGATAGACAATTCGGCGGGTGCCAACAAGCAGCATGTGATTGGCCGCTCCACAGTTGAGGATTTGGCCTTCCAGGAGCGTCGCCGTAAGTCGGCATACGCACTGGAAATGGAGCCAGCTCTGTCAGACGCAGGCGCGAGCAGCGACGAGGGCAACGAATGCGACACACTCACACTGAGTCGCAACTCCACAACGTCCAGCTCGTGCATAGAGGTCGAGCACTGCAATGAAGAGGACGACATCTGCATAGAGTGCTTCGATGAAAATGCTCTCGAGACAGAGTTAGCCGGCAGCAGTTCGGGCGGAGCCGAAGCCAAGCATCAAGTGAGTAAAGCTTTCTGTTGATTAAGGGAACGGTACGGTACTCGTGCAAGCAGAAGTCTTAAATAGGCAAACTTGCACGACTTATACAGCACTGGTCGGTTATGTCATTGCGTCGGGAGAGCCAACGCCTTGTAAGGAAAACGATGCCATGCCGTCTAACAAGTCTGCGGCGGGCGTTGATTATTCGAATCGAATCTGTTTGTTTATATCCCACCGAAATATCTTGGCACGTTTAATGAAATTCGCTGAGACAACCAGTCGGCAGCAGCACCCGTACCCGTAAATAATTTGATGGTTTGCAGACCAAACCAGTTTTCGGGTGGCACATGGCACGTTCTGGATGGGCAAACCTACTGAATATCTACACAACTATTGAATAAGATAACATTAATATGTTAATTAACGGCTGTGCTTTCTTTTTCTATTCTTTCAGTTGGCCATCAGCTTTGCCAGCAGCGGCTTCGCCAGCTCGCCCTCTTCGATACGGAGCTCCAGCTCCAATGTGAATGTGGGCAGCAGCGATGGGAAAGGCTGGGTGCCCTACGCATATCCCCACCAGTTTGGGGGCACAAGCCCCAAACATGCTTAGGATTTTGAATTAGCTGGTAGATTATGTTGTCGGTAGTCTTAGGTTTAATCGTAGCATCGTAGTTCGGGCATATTGGGCATCAACATCGCTATTTTGGTTTTATATAGCATTTTATTTAGTGTAAATAATATAAAAGCCAAGTTGCTGTTTTAATACTGTGATAGCTTTAGAAAACAAAAAAAAGTAAACGATTGTCGTTGTCCAAATTATCCAAGAAGTGCAGATCCCATACATCCTAAGTGAACCAGCCAGCACACTAGATACCATTGAAATGAACCATTGAATTGTTACCAACTAACAGAGGGGCATGGTATGGTATGGCATGGTATGGCATTGTGTTTATGTACATATTACGAAATTGTAGTCTTAGCCATTGTCACCTCCATGAGGTGGCAACTATAATTTGAGTTTAAACTATGAATTAAAGCAAATTATAAACTAAACATCAGTTAGTTAATTGCAACGAGATGTACTCAAGTTGCTCCAAAAATTTCTGTGATGTTGTATTGAAGCAGAACTTAATAAGCAGGACTGAAACGTTTTGCTCTCTAGAATTGTAACTGTCTTAGTTTTTAGTAATGTAATACTAATAATAAAAGCGACATTTTATTTAAACAAATTAAGAAAGTATTTTCTGTAATCTATTTATGTCTGTACATATTTTTGGATGGAAATATATGTACTTTTCAGTCATAATATAGCTGTTTATGGGCTTGAAGCTAGTTCCTGAAGTCCATTCGCACGACAATGACAACAGAATTAGTTCACAATGCTGCTGAAAATGGACATTTTTATTGAAAGCTAATGTCCTCACCAGCGCCAGTGTGTTTTTACATTAGCAGAAGTTTAAAAAACAAATAAAAAAGTGTCAGCCGTTTTAAAGTTATTCCAGCCTTTTAGAAAATGTCGAAACTAGCTATAAAATAGTGGTGTTGGCAACACTCTGATCCAGTGTTGTCTTACGCAGTGCTCACCACCTCAAAACCAGGGTGACCATTTAATGTATATTATATACTTTTGGGGATACTTTACCTACGAAAATGCCAAAAAGACTATATTATACTACCGGGTTGGCCAGCTACAAATAGTCAAATAACGTGACATTCCACTCCCGCCCACGTACCTTTTAATGGTATTTTTTGTTTGAACTTTTTACTTTAACCCGATTTTGCCAGCAATCGAATATAAAGAAGTCATAAAAACCAGGCAGTCTTGTGAAAAATTGGTTTTTGAATTAGATAAAATTATGGTTTAAGCGCAGAGAGCTTTTACCAGCTAGTAATATTAATTAGAATGGCAAAAGCGAGAAAAATGTTTAAAGATAAGGGATCTTTGCGGTATATTTTGAAAACGAGATGGTATATTTCGTTATATTTCTAAGGGTAAGGCGGTATATCTTATCGATAAGTCCGTGGTTACACTGCTCAAAACAAAACAAAACAATAACAATTGCAGTGATAAAATTAGTTTAAATATGTTTAACTGGTTAACAACTGTGCAAAATTTATAGTTTTAACTATAAGAACACCAACTGACAGTGACCGTATTCGCGCGGTGGGAAGCATACTTCAAAGAGAAGGTAAAATATAGAGTAAAACGGGCTATAGTCCTACATAATACACAAATATATGTACATTTGTGAGTATATTTAGTCGCTCTCACTCATAAAACTGGAGCGGCAAAAACTCCAACTCAAACCGGTCACTGATAGCAGTTTCTCTCCGTGGTGCAACTGTCTACGTGGACTCAAGTCAAGTCTAGTTAATCGTCAACTGCACCTTGGAACGAAAGAACATATTAACGTAGGCTGCCGCGTTAACCTAATCTTTAGGTATTTGTTTATCGCTTTGAAAAATAGCGATACTGGGTGAGATTATGTACAAATATCAAAGGTGAATTTTGCGATCCAGGAGGGTGGCGCTAGCTCGCAAAACTGGACCACAACAAATAAATATCTGTATTTTTCGACCTCTTGTTCCAGCTCGTTGTTTGATAAATCCTTTGAGAAGCCCAGCGCCGAAATGAGATATCTGGGCAATGGAAAAGTGTTATGGAACTTGGTAAGTTATTATTGTGAATAATAATCTCATTGCTTCCAATAACTATTAACGCGTGTCTCTTGCAGACAAAGAACTCCATCAGTCATCAGTCGCCCAATGCGCTTGCCAATCTGCATCTGCATCCCGCCAGCTACAGCAGCAGTAAGAAACCCACCGCGCCACCAACCGAGCGACAGAAACAAAATCTCTTGACATACCATGTCCTACCGCTTGATGAAACATTGAATCGTTTCACCAGCACTGTCGAGCCTCTGCTGACACCTGAAGAATTTAAGCTTCAGAAGAAAATCAACGATGATTTCAAGCATAAAGAGGGCGACCAGTTGCAGATGCTCCTGGAGGATGTGGGCAAGGCAGAGAAGAATTGGTTGGCCCCACGCTGGCTTAAGGCCGCCTACTTGCAGTATCGGTCTCCAGTCACTGTCTACGTTAGCCCTGGAATGACATTCCCCAGGCAAAACTTCAAGGATGCGCATGCCGTTGTCGACTACACGTCCAAAGTGATTTTTGGCCTGGGCGAGTTTAACGATATTGTGCATGCGGGCAAGATACCCGTGGTGAAGATGGGCAAAAATGAGCTGGATAATGGACAGTTTGGCAAAGTCTTTGGCACGTGCCGCATCCCAAAGCGCATTACTGATGAGCTTGTCTATAATCCCCGTTCAAACTATGTGGTTGTCATTTACAAGAATCATGTGAGGCTAAGCAATGCCGTTGCTGAAATGTTTTATTAACTTAAGTTCTCTATTTTATAGTTCTACAAAATGCAACTCTACAATAAGGAAGGAAAGTTGATTGCCTCGCGAGCGCTGGCCAGCCAACTGGAAGAGATTGTAGCCAAGGAGACAACAGCTGGAGTGCCGTACGGGATACTGACCACAGACACGCGAGACAACTGGGCCGAGGCCTACGAGCATTTGTCGTCATTGCCGGGAAACAAAGCCACAATTGACACCATCCAAGGTGCTTTGTTCACTGTATCGTTGGATGAATGTACAGATCTTGCGGCAAATGAAGAGAGCAATGAACTGATTCTGGGACTCATACATGGCGGTGGCAGTAAGGTGAACAGCGGCAATCGTTGGATGGATAAAACAATTCAATTAGTTGTAAATCCCAATGGAAATGTTGGCTTCACCTACGAACACTCTCCAGCTGAGGGCCAGCCCATAGCCATGATGATGGATTATGTGGTTAAAAAGATGTAAGTGACTTCCAGCAACAAGCCACATTTATCACCCACGTATTTGTTTTAGGAAGGAGAATGCATCTTTTGGCGAATGCGGTGCCACGGACAACATCACGCCCGCTGAGAAGCTTTCATTTTGCCCTGTTAACGAATGCATCGAGCAATGGTTGTTCCTTGCGAAGCGAAACATCGATACTCTCGCCTTTCAACTGCAGATGAAGGTGCTCAAATTTGAGGGCTATGGCAAGGGCTTCATCAAGAAACAGCGACTGGGACCTGACAGCTTCGTGCAGATGGCATTACAGCTGGCATTTTACAAGTAAAACTCTGCGATTCTTTTACTTTTAATAAAACAATTGAGATTGCTTCTTCGATTATTTGCAGAATGCACAACGAGCCAGCGGCGCAATACGAGTCTGCCCATTTGCGCATATTCGAAGGCGGGCGCACGGAAACCATACGCTCGTGCTCCAATGAATCTTTGGCCTTTTGCCGCGCCATGCAGGATGACAAAGCCACTGACCAGGAGCGTGTTGATAAACTCCGTGCGGCGGTTAACAGCCATCAAACCTATACGAGATTAGCTCTACAAGGCAAAGGTGTCGATCGCCATCTGCTCGGACTTAAACTGATGGCTGTGGAGAATGGCAAACCCGTACCGGAATTCTTCTCTTCGCCCGGTGTCGTCAAGTCGTCGCACTTTCGCATGTCCACCTCCCAGGTGGCCACGACCTACGATGCCTTTATGGGCTATGGACCCGCTGTGGACGATGGCTACGCATGCTGCTATAATCCGCGGGAACAAGACATTATCCTGGCCATATCTGCCTGGCGCTACTGTCAGGCAACAGACCACTTAAAGTTTGCCAAAACCCTGGAACAGTCTTTTCTGCAAATGAAAGATATTTTAGAGAAATGCCCAGCACCAGTTCCAGCGAAAACTGATAATCCAAAATCGAAATTGTAGTGGAATACTCTTGGAGATACATCAAGATACAACGCTCAAAATGGAGGAAATTGTAACTATATACAAAGTGCCTTTTCCAGTTATTGTCTTTTGGACAGATGTTTAAGCAGAGTCTCCTCTTTGATACACTTTACTGATAATTCAATTGTTAGAAATATTGAATTAAATGCACGTTTTTTATGCACATAGTATGATGAGTGGGTGATAATTCGTTGAATTAATTTTGTTTTGCTTGCCCCAAAATGAAACAATCGCCAATCGCGCAATAAACCAATTACAGCATAATTGTATATTTATAAATATTGCTAAACAAAATCAAACAAGTGGCTCAGGCATACACTTAGCTCAAGCTGTTTTTTTCTAGTCTCCAGTCCTAGTCCTTTTTGCAATGGTAGCAGCTGCAGGATACAGCACTTTTAAAGGTGACATTTCGAATGCCCTCAATGCACAAGACGCGACGTTGTATCTGTAAGCAAGAGCAGTCAGTAACTAAAACAGAACACACAAAAGCTTGAAGAGTCAACCTACCTCCTCGGACTTCATCATGTTGCAGCATTGACCGACACTTACCACCGGCTTGGGTGGCTTGAACAGACCAGTAAGCGAGGCACCTGCCCATGGGATCGAGGGCACAGAATATGATTCACAAAATCCACGACAGGCATTGGTCGTAATGGTGAACTCCACACAGTCGGGTATAGAAATCTTGCGCGTGTTGCCAACTTTGTGGCAGCCAGGACGCAGCCAGACATCCTTTCCCGCCAAACTGCACTCGCCGGGCAGGAACCAGAAGGAGCAACAAAGAAGCACAAGCCACTGGGTGGACCACATCTTGCCAACTGTTGCCTGCAAGCAGACATCCGCTTCGTTTTTATTCTGAGCTGAGCAAGCTTGACGGCTGCGCAGTGCAAGGAGACCAAAGGATGTGGGCCAACGCGGCAATCGAATAAACCTAATGGCCGTGCTGGCTTCTTGAATATTTAAATTATGCTCAAGGCATAAATAAATAGTAAGAACTGCTCAGATTTATAAATAAATACGCTTATTTTTATTGAAATGAAACTGAAAATAGCTCCAGCAAAAAAAAATGGGACATGTCTACCATTTGATTTAATTTTTTTTGGGTGCTCCAAAAATGTGTGGAGCGATGCGAGCTCAATCTGTCATTTAAGATTCATTTTCTCCGGCTTAAAAGACGGTCTGTCGGTCTCTTATTGCATGACGAGGCTACTAAGGGCAGAAATGTTTACCCTAAACGAATACATAGGCCTAATCCTGTTGCCTAACTAGAACCAACTCAGTATGTGTTTAGTTTCAGTTCGAAACTCGTTAGTCTCATTTCGTTAGTGGGGCGAGAACAGCTTCGTTGTTGTTAAATATATTTATTGAGCAGCATTCAACCTACACCAACACAATTAAGCCCAAAAAAAGACGAATTCAACTCAATCCGTTGCTCGGCTGCCAGCAGACTTGAATCCGAGACACGGCCAAATGCATCGCAATCAAAATGACCATTTTCATGGTGTCAATGAGGGCGTACCAGTGGTCCCACTGATACCAGAACTCCCATTTCCAGACATGGAGGTGGACATGGAGAACAACCTGGGGCAGTCCCTCAGCAAATCCTTGGCGGCCCCCACTGTGAGCGATCAGGCGCTTAATACTCTCAACGAACTTCGCGAGGCTAATCTCTTGTGTGATGCAGAAATCTCAGTCGGAGAGTACAAGCATACCTTCAATGTGCATCGCGCCATCATGTGCTCCTGCAGCTCCTACTTTCGGTAAGCCCAGTCAAGTGCAGAACCAACCTCAGTCATTTCCCCCATGCAAATACCTAGCGTACAATTCACGGGCCAAGGATTTGTGCCGGAGGGTGGCGCCAGCGAAGACATCCGTGCCGTGCACATACCAGGCGTGAGAGCTGCCATCATGAACTGTGTCATCCAGTACGCTTACCTGCGCAAGACCAACATCTGCGACGACAACGTGCACGAGCTACTCATATGTGCGGATTACTTGGGCATCGTGGGGCTAGTCAAGCAGTGCAAGGAGTACCTCAGCCGCTCCCTCACCCCGGAGAACTGTGTCAGCATCATGGGATTTGCACGGTGGGTTGCAGTAATCCCCCCATAATTGGCTCCAGCTAAATCCAATTTTAATTGATTTCACTTGTGTGGCAGCTTTCGATTTCTGGAGGATTTGCACTTAAAGGCCCGCAATTATACGCTGCGCTACTTCACGGAGGTGGCTGCTCGCAATACGGACATATTGGACATGAATGTGACAGACTTTTATGGCATAATTAGCGACGATGAGCTTAACACACGCGAGGAGGACTATGTGTGGAAGATGTGTGTCAAGTGGATAGACCGCGATCCAGAGAGCCGCAAGAAGCACGTTGCCCACTTGATGACAGGCGTACGTTTGGGTCTAATGACCCCAAAGGTAACTAGCCTAATGCTAAACATTCCAAATCTCTAATCGAACTCCCGCAGTGCTTCATGGAGGAGGTCAAGGAGCATCCGTATGTGCTGCAGTGCGCGGAGGCCAAGCCGTTGATAGTGGACACCTTTAAGTTCATGTATGATCTGGACTTTCTAAACCCACAAGCCGATGAGGTAATGTCTCTCTCCCTCTTGTTTACAGCAACTTCTTATACGTACCCTTTAATATGCCCTTTCAACCAAAGCTCACCACACCGCCGCTGGCCATGCCGCGTTTACCCCACGAGGTGATTTTCGCAATTGGCGGTTGGAGTGGTGGAACTTCAAAGGCTTGCATCGAGACCTACGACACGCGCGCTGACCGCTGGGTGAACATCCATGCCGAAGATCCAGCTGGACCCAGGGCTTACCACGGCACCGCCGTGATCGGTTTCAAGATCTACTCCATTGGGGGCTACGACGGCGTCGAGTACTTCAACACATGCCGCGTCTTCGATGCTGTGAAGAAGAAGTGGAGCGAGGTCGCTCCGATGCACTGTCGCCGCTGCTACGTCAGCGTGGCCGAGCTGAATGGAATGATCTATGCAATCGGGGGCTATGACGGGCACAATCGATTGAACACTGTGGAGCGCTACAACCCGAAGACAAACCAATGGACCGTCATTCCGCCGATGAACATGCAGCGATCCGATGCCAGTGCCTGCACCCTGAAGGGTCGCATCTTTGCCACTGGCGGATTCAATGGCCAGGAGTGTCTGGACAGTGCCGAGTTCTACGATCCAACGACCAATGTATGGACGCGGATAGCGAACATGAACCATCGTCGCTCGGGGGTGAGCTGTGTCGCCTTCAAGGGCCAACTGTATGTGATTGGGGGCTTCAATGGCACTGCCCGATTGGCCACCGGTGAGCGGTATGACATGGCATCCCAAACATGGCACTCCATCAGGGAAATGAATCACTCGCGCAGCAACTTTGGCCTGGAGATCATCGATGATATGATATTCGCAATTGGAGGCTTCAACGGTGTCTCGACCATTTCCCACACTGAGTGCTATGTGGCCGAGACAGATGAGTGGATGGAGGCCACTGACATGAACATTGTGCGCTCCGCCCTATCGGCCAATAATGTCGCTGGACTGCCGAACAAACGGGACTACATACACAAGGAGCGGGATCGCCTAATGGAGGAACGACGTCAGCGATTGATGGCCTCTGCCATGGCTCGAGACGAAGTTGGCCATGGAAATGCTCCGCACTCGCTGGTGGCAACCAATGATGCGGCACTCGATGACTACGACAGTCCCATCGAGGACGAAGACGATCAGCCGCAACTGGCACTGCAGCAACTGGGCTTGCCCTTACCATTGCCACTGCCATTGGCCATGCCCGTTCTTCCCATTGCTGCTCCAGCTGGTGGTGCCTTAGGGCTTGCCCAACTCGAAGTTCAACCACAGCCTGGCCAAGCGGTGGACGATCCCGGACAGGAAAACAATCGGCGATTTCGGGTGCAGCTGCGTAATCAGCGCTATGGTTCGGTTCATGAAATTCGTCGTCGCGCCTAGAAGCTGGCGCCACTCCCACACCCGGCCATGACTGCTTTTACCCTCCCATAACCCCGTGACTACCCTGATAAGACAACAATAAGACACATAACATATCACATTAGAAGATGCGTTTGCGTGGGCTGCAGCCCACGTCTGTAAGAACAATTTTCGATGATCCTTTTGGCTCCATTTTCCGTTTGACGCAAATCGCCTCCTCGGCGCATATCCAAATTTCAGTATACATCCAAATTTGCACAGAAGCTGTATCTAAATTCCCTGGCATTGTGCAGACTTCAAATAAATAAATCGCTGCATTGTAATAGTAGTAAATGAATCCTTTGCCATCAAATTATAAATAATTCAAACGGCTCGAGTCAGCCGAATTGAATATGCAAAAAAATATGAGCTCAAAGCCATTACGGGCGTTTATTTGGGAGGAGTTGGTTGGGTGTGTGGTTGAGCTTGCCCTGCAGCGCAGTCGCTGTAGTCTTGGGGCTAGCATATAAAAAGCAGGCGTAGGGCGCCACAGTCAGCCACTACACGGTCGTCAGCGTAGAGTTCACCTTTGAGACAGTTGCTCAAAACAAAGGAAAAATGGCTGGCTGTGCAGTGCTGTAAGGGGAACACTAAAAACCAACTGAACTCTATCTAAAGCACACATCACTCTTTCTTTCTTTCAGAATTTTGTTACTCTTTCTGGGCTCACCCCTGCTGCATGTTGTCGGCACGCAGTTGGTGGAGCTGCAGCAGATTAACAGTGGTCCGACAGTGGCTCCATTGGGCTGCCATCGACGCGTTTACACTTATAAAGTGACCCAATCCGATTTGCTTGGCCATGAGTGCTGGGATTATGTGAGCGTTTGGTCCTGTTGGGGCCGCTGTGACTCTAGCGAAATATCGGATTGGAAATTTCCATACAAACGCTCATTTCATCCGGTTTGCGTGCACGCTCAGCGGCAGCCAGCGGAAGCCATACTCAAGAACTGTCACCCCGAAGCTGATGAGAGCATAAGCAAGTATCACTACATGGAGGCGGTGAACTGCCACTGCCACACATGCTCCACACAGGACACCAGCTGCGAGGCGCCAGCTAATAACGTGTTAGACGAGGGCAGCAAGGCTGTCAAAGTTTTGACACTCACTGGAGCCGACTCCAAGGACTTGGACTATTAGATGAATGTCTAATTATATGTTTTATGGTTCAATGTAGTGCAGTGCGGGGACATCTTTGGTTAACAATAAAATATACTTTACAGCACGTTGCATTTAAAGCACACAACTCGAGTCTTTTACTTTCGTAGCTTCAAGAGTTTTGGTCTTAAATTCTAAAGCCTGATGAATATAAACGAAGGCATTCGTCCAAATAAACCTAAGATATATTAATGTATTTATAAAACATAACTTCATGTTACGTGGTCAAGCCCTTGCGAAGTGTCTACACAAGCGTCTGCTCGTGTGCTAGTGCTGGGCAGCTTAACCATCGTTATCTACAGGAATTTTGGACTTGAGCTGTTGCCTCTCTCCTGCGCTAACAGGTATAGGCAATAGAGCGACGAGATGCCCAGCCCAACTGCTCCACCAAGTGCACACCTCCGTAGACCAGCTAAAAGAATATAAGAATAAGGAATATAATTCGATTAATTGTCTTTTTTGGTAGCCACTTTAGCCACTTACCTGTGGATTTGTATAGCAGGCCTGTGGCAGAGCCAGCAATTATTGTGTTAACATGATCGTCCTCGCCACGAGCGTATTGCAAGAGCACACCGCACGCCGAATAGAGCACAGCGAGGGTTCCCAGAGAGTTCGCCGTTCCAGAACCCTGTTTCATAATGTGATTGAGTAACCTGCAATCGGAGAGAAGCAATCAAGTCTTCGTTACGGGTTATATTTCATTGCAAATACTCACTGAGTCCGCCGCAGTTTCCCCGTCTGGTTGAGCGCGTTGGTGGCTTTGAAACCATTATATACACCCGCTAGACCGCCAATGCCTCCGCCAATCATAACCGAAGTGCCAATCTGTGAGAAGGCCAGCTCAAAACGTCCACGCTGCTTGTTGGCTCCTTCGGGAAATATAAACTCGGGCTGTGCCCGCTGCAGGTAGCGTGAATCGTAGTTGAGGTATGGCGACACCGGACCACTACTAAATTTGCTTGCACCCGATGCGTAGTTCGATGTTGTGGCTTCATCAGCTGCACCATGTAATTTAATTTAATAAACTTATCAGTTTTCATTCAGGAAAAACCAACAGGTCTATCCACAGCTAGCACATATGTAAGAAACGAGTCACATTGCGTAACTTAAGTTCTTTGCTTACCGGCTGGCGCGGGCGCCAATGAAAATGGTTTCCTCAGAAAGTCGTCACTCATTTTTGAATTTGTGTGCTTGCTTTGCCAAGGGAATGATACAAATTTTGTTGTTCGGTCTGCCGGTCAGCTGTATAAAAAATCGTTCGCTCTACAGAAGCAAACGATTTCGTACTCTTGTTTTTTTTTAGTTTCTAGCGTGACGTTTGGGGGGTAGCACGCCTGATTTTAAAGCACTTTCGATACGTACAATTGTGATATCGATATATCGCCAATATATCGGCATAAACAAAAATTCAACAAACAAAATTCCACATTTGCAGCGTAAATCTTTTTTTTATTCGTGATAAATAATATTAATAAATAATGTAAAATTATAAATATGCATACAATAAATTCGTAATATAGTTAATAATTTAAAAATTATTTAAGAGTTCTGAAATATAAAAAAATGATCATCAGACAATTCCTAAGCTGTAATTTTCCTGTATAACTGTTGGGCACCCACGTTGCCCATACTTCACATGTTGCGGCAGATCAAGTTCATAAGCTGAGCCATAAAGCAACTATATAAGGAGGTCTCGTCGGAAAAAATTATGGACTAGTGCGAGTGAAAAGTGCGAGTGAAAGGGCTCTCGCTGTAGGTGTGAGGGCAACGACAATGGAGTGTGCTGATCAATCATTTAAAAGCAATGTGAAAAAACATAATAATTGTTACATAATTTAGTTTTTAATAGTTTGCTTCATGAAAGTAGTCAGTGTTTTGAAAGAACAAACATTTTGAAAAATTTTGAAAAAAAAATCGTCCGCAACCAACTTTCCGCGTCGACAATCAAACGTGCACTGAGAATTGTGTAAAGCAGCGAGTAACTCTGCCACCGACGAGGCCTCCTTATATAGTTGCTTTATGAGCTGAGCCCCCAAAACAAAATCAACAGCGTAGATACAAATTTTCGTTCTACCGCAGTTCAACAGCTATGCATAGTAACCAACCTACACACGCGCACGTATGGTCCATACATGTATACATTCATAGGATCTTGTGCCTACATGCAAACATAAATATGCACCTTCTGACTGGGGTACGCTCGCATATCGCAAAGTCTACTGTGACGTTTCGCTTTTATGGAGTCACACTGATATGTGGTTAGTGATTCGGCCGATAGTCCATGATTCGATATAGTCGTCGACGACACAGTCGTACCAATAGTATCGTATCGATAAGAAGAAATATCGACCATACCTCTGTCTGTTTTGTTTTCATTGTTCGCTGGGCTGTGTTCGTTGCTACGATTTTAGATGTGTTGTGTTGTCCTTAAGATAATGATTTATATTTCCTAATTAGAAATAGAACAAAGTAGTTATATGTAAAGTGTGTGTAAGTGCGTGAGTGTGCGTACGCGATCGCTGCGGGGCCTAGAAAGAGAAAAAACTGACCAACAAAACCTTTGTTTTGTGATTACTGGACGGGAGAGTCAGGAGGGGCGAAAAAGGTGCCGGCGTTTCTGGAGTGTATTTATTTTGCTTTGAACTCACGTCAAATGTCTTCAACCGAAGTCAGGCTGTCTCGTCTGCTGATCCTGGCGCAAAAGTTTAACAATTTCTATTTGACAGGTAAGAGATGCACTTAAGCTCATAATGCACAAAAACCGGGCGCTGAAATGTAGTAGATGAGTACATACATGCATACATATGTGCATGATGGATTTTGGTGAGCGATGCTTGTTGAAGAGAGGGGCGGCGGCCGCCAGTGTTAACTTCCACTGATTCAGAGGGAGGCGACATACACAGTACTGCTGTTTATCGATTAGTTTGTTTACTTGGCCCTGTGCTTGCGTATATGTGTCCCAGTGCGTTTTTTAATTTCGCAGTCTGCTGCCTGTTCGCAATCTGCACTATAATCACGAAATGGATTACACCAAATTGTTCAACAGCTACCTACATATTCGGTGCCCTATCAGCTTACATTCACTGTAAACTGTAATTAGTGCAGCCAAATGAATTCAGTAGAACGCCAATCGAGCCATAGCTCTTATGCAAGATCATTTTTATCAAGCGGAACACAAGAGCTAAATATACATTCTATAGATGTGCATATGTGTGTATATTTTTGCATATGTTTGTGCATAATACTGCCAGCCTAATTGGTTTCCTATAATTGGGAACCTTGGCTCTTCAGCGCTTGGGTATCATTGTCAAGCATATGTTTATGTTTCCTTGTTTGTTGCCACAAGATTTTTGCACGTCATCTTGGGCCGATCAAAGCTTCTGACATATGTACGCACACATACATACATTTTTACATATAATAAACAGGAGGGAGCATCGGCAGAGGGAACTCTGAGAACGCACACATTCTCAGCCAAGATTTTACATCCAGAACCACCTCTTGAACATTTGCCGACAACTGTTAACTGTAAATATACGCACATACATGTGTATATATGCATGTGTGGTGTGGTCGTCATTAAATTAAGTGGGAAGCAGTGACTCCTGATAAGCAGTGTTCCAAAACTAAACAGCCACTAAGCCCCAAATTGTTAACGTATTGTTTAGCTATTAGCAATTAGTAAGCTTTTCGCTTTACTCACACATATGTAGTAGTATCAGTAGATACCCGTTAAATTCAATCAGCTATCGAATTTTGTCGAGCCATTATCATTATACATATTTACATATGTATAAGTAAATATGTATGCATGTATGTGTGTCATAATTATTAGCAAGCAGTTGTTTCCCAGAAAGCTGCCCACTGAAGCTTTTGTGCTGAACCTGTGACTCGGTTGGGTTGAGCGAATATCAGTGGTGGCGTTCTTGCAATCAATTCAGATTAATCTAAAGTAAATCTAAATAATTTGCGGAAACGACCTTTGATATTTTGTTTTTAAACTTTTCCAAAAAGTGGTCTTGCTTTAACACAAATCAGTATCTGAAATCGTCATTTTTACATCCAGGCAACAGCTGTAAGCTGGATCGCATTCCTCAGTAAAATCTGCATCCAATCAGAATTTGTAATTAACGGTACTTTTATTTTTTGAGAGCCCTGAGAGCAATAGAAGACTTTTATCTAAACAATGCTTTATGGTTTTAGTAGTAAAACAAAGAATTAGTAACATACAAATCTCTCTTACTTCAATTCATTTTAATATACTATTCTATGAATGCTTTTATGGGGATAAGAGATTTTGTTTGGCACATCAGACAAAAGACCATCAATCACGTGCACACTACTAAATAACACGAGTACTATTCTGAGTAGACGGCACCACATTTATTTATTCATTATTTTCGTTATAATTTCTTCCGGCTTGAGCTGCGACTTGGAAATAAATTTAGCGGCATACGTAAGCAAGTTCAATAAACGACATAATCTTCACAACCAACAGGCTTTCACAAGGGCGACATACGCCCGTTCCTGGTTGAGGGTCAACAAGTTGGTCTCATCAAATCGGATGTGCTGAAGCAGCTCGTTAAGTATCCTGAAGTGTTCTGCATACGTGACTGTGAGCAGACGAAACAGGTATGTATTTTGTGGTTATCCAATGTCCTTAGCCTAATACAAACCTTTTATTTCATTCACCCAAGGGACTGGTGGAGCTGAACCCGGCATTCCGTGACTATAATGAGCGCACAGAGCAGGTGGAGAAAGTATTGCGTAATTTGCGCAGCGAGGGATTGTTCCCGGCTCTGCAGGGATGGCGGGATGAGTACTTTGAGGTGAAGTCCGAGCACAGGCCTTTGCTGAAAATGGAAAGGGCTGCAACGCCCCTGTTCGGAGTGCGAAAATATGGCGTCGATATCAACGGCTATGTGAGGCATCCGACGCAAGGCTTGTGCATTTGGCTACAGCAGCGTTCCAATACCAAAGAAACGTGGCCAGGCAAGTGGGATAATATGGTGGGAGGCGGCCTGTCTGTGGGCTTTGGTATTAAGGAGACGGCTATTAAGGAAGCAGCTGAGGAGGCA